CTTGGGTTCCCATTTTTTTTAGGTCAAATGATTGTGCAGATCACATTGCTGTTGTTTTAATTCGATTAGTGACATGTTTGCCACAAAGATTAGCCACAGACTTGCTTCATCATTTGATATAGGAATGCCACTAGATGGCACTTTGGTACAACTCAAGGTCTAGCATGGATATTGTCTTGGTCAATTAAATGGACTTCAAGCACAACTGTGGTTGAACTGAGATTGTTAATATTTCCAAGAATTAAAAGAGGTTCTTGATATGCTTGCTTCCAAACTGTAAGCATTGGAGTCATATTTCTCATGAGATTTCATAATAGTTTTAAGTAAACAGATTTAACTACAAGAAAAGGCACCGATTAGCATGAGGACACAACTAAGGTTGGTTCATATATTGCAGCAACTTCCACTTATGTTAAAGGCCACTGAAAATTGCTTCCATGTGATCTTTACAATAATTTAAAACTGCTTTCCATGTGATTCACCCTAATTGGTTGGCAGACTCCATGTTTGTGCCAGAATTATTGAAAATGTGGAATTAGGCAATCAGGAAATTCTCTTCCTAAATGACCTAAACTGTAGGCAATCCAATAGGTCTAGGACAACTTGCCACAGCCAGCTCACCATGGCCAATTTGCCATAGCCAACTCCCTGCATGACAAGAGTTACTCTACTCGCTGTGGGACAAGAGTTACACTAATATTGAAGAAATGGTGGAATAGAATCATTAAAGAAAGGATGTCAAATATTTTTAATTATTTTAAATAATTAAATTGAATGGTTGAATTGTCCCACGGCAAGCTGGCCATGACGAATTGGCTAAGGTGATTGGCCACAGGGAGTTGACCATGGTGAGTTGTCCCATTCTGGATCTAATAGTAGGAATAATTGCATAGGCCACTCTTCAGTTTCAGTTTATACTTAAAGCATAAACGAACCTCTTCTACAAAACCAGAAAGTGATTTCTAAGTTACTAATCATTGCAGAATTTTTTTCCTGAAGCAACTCAGATGGCATTACCACTTTATTTCACTGAAATTAGAACTTGTCTTAAAAATAAGCCATCAGAACCTCTCCATCCTCTGAAAATAGAGGTAGCGTCAGATGCTTTAACAAAAGACAGGATTTGTTTTCTTCACCATGGCACTCTACGGCAAGTTTCTTTGCACTCCATATGGGCAGGTAATCTTCAGATATTATAAAAACATTGTGAAAACAAACAAAAAAAGAGTTGTTACATATTTAGAATAGGCCCTGGTCCCAAACTGGCACCATGGGCATAGTTTGGCCTCATGCCCAATCCAAATTTAGTTATTTTTCCATTTCATTCAAAACAAAAACAAAAGCCCTACACAAGGAATGGTAGCATGTTACAAAACATACCGGTAGCAAACACTCCTAGGTCTAATCTTGATTTTTTAGATTGCCTTGGTTCCCACTTATTCCTCCAAGCATTTAAATATATTTATAACAATAGAAGTGCCTGGTATGCCGTGGTTTTATTCATCTATCCAGGAAAACAAAACAAAACATTCAATGATAGTATTTGGGGTGGGATAGAGAAATTTTACCTTTTAGTAAATTGATTTTTTTTTTATTAGCTAAACTCATTATAGCAGCCATTAGCCAAATGCACACAATACAGCAGGAAATGAACTTAGCTACTAAAAAATAGATGGTTTGAAGGTTTCAGGCAAAATCAGGATTTCTTCAGAGATTACAGATGAGAAGGGCTTTACCCACATGTTTCTTTTAACTCATATTTTTGCTCAATACTGTCAGGCATAGAGAATCAGGACCTTATGTTAAGATTTATTGCTCAAGTTTATACACAAGAATCTAGTCAACTGATGGTCAGCACTAAATTGGCACTAGATAAGAGTCAATGGATTTCAAAGGGAGGCTGGACTTGGAACGTTTGGGAACACAAGGATACTAAACTGAGTCCTCTCTTGACACCACTCTCAGGCTCTGCTCCTTCTTCTAGAAATACCTTCTTGAAGCAATATTCCATGTATCCATGGTTAAATGGGCTGTTATCCTAAATGTTTATGCCATAGATCCCTTATTTTTTTTAGGTCAGTGGACACATTCCAAATTTTGAAAAACTGTCATTGTTAACTAACAGTTAAGAGTTTATAGCCTGATAACCTGAACCATGAGTCAATTGACTAAAATAGGGTTTAGTAGCCTGTGGTTCATTGCTTTGTGCAAACTCGCCCATTAGCTAATTAGGTTACTTTAGGTCAACTACTATTTTTCAACCCAAACAATCTCATACCTATCTTTGTTTTAAGGAAGCAGGATTATCTTAAATTCCTAGAGATGTGTGACATACATCCAATACATATAATTAAAGATTTCGATGTGTATTATCAGTTGGAAATTATATTAGGCCTCATAATGGCTGTGACATGAAATCATATATTTTTGTTTCATGCTGCATAGTAGAATATTCTTAATAACAGCTCCATGTCTTGCCATTCTATAATTCGATCCATTATCCAAATACTATTTTCAAGTAATTATATTTCCAAATATGCATAATTTCTGAATGGTTAGTCATATTTACTTGGAAGTTTTAGTCATTATATTAATTAGGGAAGATGGATTCCTAGCTATCAAACTGAATACATATAATTAAGAGTATCATTTTACCACCAGATAAATCCCTTTGCCTCAACAAATAGCAGTACCTGGTTAATGTCATCCAGGGTCAGAAAGCAATCAAGGTCAGACCTGGATAGTCCTTGAATGAGAGACCTTTGGGGACAGTTAGGATGTTAAATTAGACTGAAGGGAAAAAATGACAAACCCTCCTCTCGTGTTTCAAAGAAATCTGCATGAACTTGTCCATGAAGTCAGCAATACTTTCTTTGCTTCATATGCTTTTTTTTTTTTTTACATTACAGCTATTCACACAACACACAAAGGCACAAACTGATTTTAGTTTAGCATATTTGGGTAAGACCATCCTACATCGCTAGTTTGCTTCAGTGTATCATGAAAACCTAGGATAAACAAAGCATCCATTTGGAAGGTTGCCCAAGGCAGGACAGGAGCGAAAGTACAGGTAGTCCTCAAGTTATGACTAATTGTGACCAGAATTTCCTTCCCTAAACAATGCAGTCATAAGGCATGATGTCATATGACTGCATTGCTTAACAACAGTAATGCCAGCTGTCATTAACTGAATCCACCCTAATCCAAGCAACTTCTAGCTTGGTTCCTCCCAGCCCTGAGCTCAGCAAGATAAAGGACTGTCTCCTTTTAACTACCCCACAACCATCTATCTCCCCACATCTCTATCTCTATTTTGGATTCCTTGCACTCTTGTTTCTGCTAGTCTTGCCACCCTGCACTGCCAGCTTTGCTGCCTGCAATTTGCTCATCCTATCACCCTGCCAATTTTGTCACCCTGCACTCACTGACCTTCATTTTTGAAGAGACTATTACAGGATCTAAGAGTTTTGGATAACTATCATTTGGCCTCCAACCATTTTAGGGAAGGTTGTTAAGACAATTATGGCAGACAAACTTCACAGCGCTCCAGAAGAAGAAGGTTATTTGGGCCTTTTTCAGGCAGGGTTCCGACCTAGATGTGGGACAATGGAATCATTAGTGAGTCCCTTGGGTGGTTTGGGTTGGGACCTGGATCAGAGCTGTGCATTGCTCTTCATCCTTTTGGATCTCTCAGTGACTTTTGATACCATCAACAATGATAATTTACGGCGCTTCTGCACATGCACAAAATCTTCTCCACATGCACAGAGCGTCTGTGATGACGTCCGGGTGGGTGGGCGGAGCCTCCCGCCGACGCCGCTACCAGTTCGCCCGAAGCAGGGCAAACTGGTAGAAAACCACCACTGTCTCCATCTCTCCAGAAGCCAGAGAGGCTAGGCTAAAATGTAGCTCTGGGATGGTCTTATAGAGATCAGCCTGTGGGCTTTAGGGAAATGACTGAAAATGGAATTTTCCAGAGGGCATTATGCTACCCTGTTTTCCTTGTTTGTTGCTTTAATTGGGGTTTTCTGATGCCATTATTTGTTTAAACCATAACCTCTTATATTTTATGCACCCAATTTTGTCCGAATGCAGCAAAATATAAGTTTAATCAATTAAAAAAAAAGGGTTCATTAGTGTTCAGTCAACATGGTTAAAGCAAGCCATATAGTCTAAACTTGTAGATCAACAAGTCCTATTATTCCCAAAACCATAGTGGAGCTCAAGGTGCTAAAACGATCCACAGGCGTTGTGCCTAATTCATTTGGCTTCCATGTAATTTATTTTTGTTGTTCACTTAACAGGAACTTGTGCACATTAGAAACATAACAGCATTGGAGGAGCTGTCAAAATATTTTCACCAGCAGCTTATTTCATTAAACCAAAGCAGCAGATTGATAGTCCTGGAACGGATTATGAATCATGATGGTCTTTCCTCCGTTCAACCGTGAGAATTATAAATATTTTTTTTAAAAAACCGGACTATTTCCGCTTCCCTTTATACTCTGGAGTTGCTCCATCATCCTTACCCCAGGAAAGCCTCTGAAAAACCTGATCGGGCATCCGAGTGCTCACCCACCCTTCCCCCCGCCCCACCACCACGGACCGCCTGCATGTGCTATGCAAGGAACGGATGCTGGTGGTAAATCCCATCACCTCCCCCCCAAGCCTTTACAAAAAAAAAAAAAACTACGTCTCCCGACACGCTCAGAGGAACGAGCCAGCTGTTGAGCATAGCGCCTGCGCAATGCTGCGGAACCCGCTTCGTAGTACCACACCCCCGCGGAGGGAGGGAGAGAAGCCCGCCCATCTGAAACCTTCCCAACAGAGGAGGAGAAGGGGGGGGCGGTGAGAGGGTGGGCTTTTCCTTTTTTTTTTTTTTTTTTGCTTTTACATGTAGGCGCCCAGAATGGAGTAAGCGAGATCCGCGAAGCGAAGGAGAGAAAAGAGTTTTCGGGCTGGAGGAGGGAAAGGGAGGGAGGGAGGGAGGGAAGCAGGCGGGCAAGCCAGCCAGCCAAGCCAGCGAGCAAGCGGTGGTTCTTTCTCAAGGCAGGACCTCGTCGGAGGAAGCCAGAGAAAGCAGCGCAAGAATGCCCTAAGGGCAGGGGGCTGGTTGGTGCCGCGCTGCCGTAGTCGGTGAAGCCGAAGCGCCAAGTGCCTCTCTGGAAGCTGCCCATCGTCCGCCGCCGCGCGTCCCGACCGAGCTTGTCAATGGAGCTGGAGAATATAGTGGCCAACACGGTTTTGCTCAAAGCCAGAGAAGGTAAAAGCTCGCTCGGCGCCAAGCATCTCTCCCCTGCCACCCCTCCCTTTGCCCTGTCGCATTTCGACCTGTGCGAAGCGATGCCAAGCGGCGGAGGCGGGAAGGGGATGGGGGAAGCTAAGGCGGCATCCTCCGGGTTTTGAGCGTGTGCGGTTGATCCCCTCGTTCTGGAGACGGGCTTTGTGGGGGGGGGGGGTGAAGGCGGTGTTTCCAGCCCGGGCTTTGGTTGCGGGAAGCAGAGCCAGCCGTTCTGCTTAAGCCGGCTTGGGGGAGAAGCGGTTCCTTTCTCAAAGATTGCCACCCCCAGCCCAACTCTCCCATCTCTTTCACTCTCGCCTCGCAAACGTGCGGGATTTCGCCTTCGATTTATGGTGTTTGGAAAGGTCGGCGGCGAAGGTTCGCTTTCCACGGGTGGAAGCACGTTCTGCCAGTCCGAATAGTTGGGGCGCTCGATCGGGATCGACTCAATGGCACGAGGGGTGTGAGTGTGTGTGTGAGTGTGTGTGTGTGTGTGTATACCCCCCCCAAAAGAGGGGGGGACCACGAGCTATCAGGAGCTCGGAGGGGTTTTCTCGTATTTTAAACCAATGTCATTAAACACGTCACTGAAACTGGCGGAGAAGAAAGGGGAGAGAGCGGTTCAAACGTAGCGAGGGCTGCAGGCAATTGCTGGACCTTGCAAACTGCACATGAAAAACCTAACCGTTTCCAACCCCCCTTCGCCCCGCAGCTGCACGATAAAGCACCGGTTAAAGAATGGAGAAAATCTGGTGCTGGTTTTTTTTTTGTTTTGTGTGTGTGTGTGTGTGTGTTTTGCATCAGATCCTGGAGTTTGGTGCTGTGTGTGCGCATTTGCAAAATAGAACATGTATGGGGCATATTTGGAGCGGGGTGGGGTGGGGGAGAGGGAGCCACGATCTTGCTTGTCAGCCCTGGGCGATTAGCAGAATTACGGCCATTCCGAACTTCCTCCGTGTTAACGAGCGATCCTGAATCCGTTTTACAACCTTTGGTCGCCCAGGTAAGGAAGAGGGTTTCTCTGCTTCGATGACCGGATGCCTTCTGGATTTCCCTTCTTTCTTTCCTTCCTGGCTCTTCCCGAACCTCTCCGAGGAGAATATGGGCTTTTTCGGAAAGGTGATAAAGCTTAGCTCCTTGAGCGCGCAGCTTGCAGTCTTTGGAGGGGAGGTTTCATTCACTGCATTTGATGAATGAAAAAGAACAACCTCCTAGCTGGCATCGCAGGTTCCTATAATCTCTTGTAGCTGTGCTTGGATGTCTTGGGTTTAGCAAATGCTAAGGGAGTGTTTCTTATCTGGGAAATGGGGGGGAGGTCTGGGATGAGCAATTGCATCTTCCTCCAGGAAAAGCTGTCCTTTTGAGGCATTTGTTTCCCCCTTGTGCCATATCCACACAATGTCTTTTAATCAAAGGGTGGGTGGGGTACTTAAAGTCAGCATCTCTCTCTTTACCTTTCCTTAACAGGTGTTTTTTTTTTTAATTAAAAAAAATAACAACACACCACCTATCTGTTTAAAAATACAGGCTAATGGTCGTTTGGTTGAAGATTCTGGTCTAAATTGGATAGGAAAAATTGGATAGATGGCTGCCTCAGGGAGCCTTTTAAGAGTTACTGAAGTAGTAGTAGAATTAATATAACTTATATACATTCGAGAAAACCGCTTCTGGTGTTTATGCGGCTGTGGCTCTTAGAGACACAAGTAATTGATCAACCAGTGAACACAGTCATTACATAATAACCCAGAAGATACTTATGAAATTAATTATTGGATATATAAAAAAAAGGTGAGGTCACATGCCAAGGGAGAAAGGTAGGAGAACAATTTGCTTTACGTGAAATGAGAATCTGATAACTGTTTCCTACAAGATCTTCATCTCCTGTGCATCCTTACATGTTGATTAAAGCTTTCAGTCCAATGTTTCCACATGCTTGAATTGAGGATTAAAAATAAATGAGTCTAATCTCAGCCCTAGTGGATCCCTAGAATCAGGCCATAGTATTTCTAAGCAAGGAAGGAAATCTAGTTGCTGACTGAATGCTAAGAGAGAAAAGTGATCACGGAACATCTGTGAGGAGCCACCTTGTGGCAGCACATTATTAGGCATTTTAGGGCTTGAGAAAAACTTCCAAACCTTATTACCGGTATATAAGATGTGTTTCTGTGTGGAATAAATATATGACTATTAGATGGTTGAGGATATAAATATTGCCTTCTTTATATTCATATAAAGAACGTAAAAAAAACAACGAATGTCTTTAATTTGTAGGGGTGCTTTAAGCAACTGGGTGATCCTCATGCAGATTTTTTATTTGTTTCTTCATTTGCTGAGTACTAGAGCAGGATTTTTCATTTTTTTTCAGATTGCAGAATCTGCTATTAAAAAAAAAAACCCAGATCCGCCTTCCCAGGTCAGATAGTGTTTTAATGGTAGAAAATTGGCTGCATTCAAGTGATTTCCTTCTTCCTTCCTTCCTTCCTTCCTTCCTTCCTTCCTTCCTTCCTTCCTTTAGTATATACCCTTAGGATTCCCTAGAATGCAGTTTGAAAAACCTGTGCTAGACAATGTGTGAAGTGAAGCTTACAAGCTGTGGGTTGTTGGGTTATCTGTTATAATAGAACTTCAAGAATGATTCACCCAGTATATTATGGTTTCTTAAAACATGCTGTTTTGACAAACCTTATGCTTGAAACATTCGCATGTTCTGTCATGTGAGTACATTTCATGCTTTTCTTACCAGGGCTGTGTAGTGAAAAAGCAATGTCTGAATTGGTTCTTGTTACCTGTCTTGATGATGGGTTTTGACTATCTCGTGACTTGTTCAAACCATCTTCAGAAATTACATATTTCTTTGATTCTATTTTATATTACTTTATTTACACAAGGTTTCTGGGCTCTGAGGATATTACCTTTTTATGGATATAAGTATTAGTGCAATCGTTGCAAAGGAAGATTACCATGAGTATGTGGAACAGAACTTGATATATGTAGTGATGAATGGGTATACTTTATCTTGTTCTATTATTTCATTTATACAAAACTATCCTGATGACAAATGTTCATAGGGTTTCTGTGCCAAGCTGTCTAGAATGTACTAAACGGCCATTTTTCCACTTTCAGGAAAGGAATCATAATTTGCTCCTCGCCTGGTCTTTTTAATCTGAATTATCTATTTTTTTTTTACCATATTTAATTTAATTTAATTGTTTTGGTTTTATTGGTAGTTCTTCCGAGAGCCCTATGTATAGTAATGTAGGATGGAAATAGATTGATAAACATTTCATTCCATGAGGAATAGATGAAGATAATTGGGAGTTCAATCTGAGATGAGCTTCAGTGACAGAGACTCTCTTAGTCTTTATGGGATTAGAACATTTTTAGTGGATTATAATTCAACATATCTGAAAGGTAACAAGAAGAACACTGGATTCAATGGTTATAGTACATTTCTATTTTTAAAGGGTGCGTCTTTCAGTTTATAGCTGATTTCCCAATGAATTTCATACCAATTCAAAACTCAGGGTAATATATATATATATATATATATATATCTTTGCCATCATGTTAGATCATATGTCAAAAGCTGTTTGGTGAAGTTTTTAAATTTCTTGTTTAATGTAGATCTTCCTTCGATATTTTCTAAAATGTCCAAAATTTCCAAAGGGTGTTTAGGAAATAAATCAGTCACCCTAGCACTTATTGCGCAATGGTAGTTTAGTACTTTGGTTCTGTTTTTAGAATTTATGTTTTTGATATAAACTACTGGGAATTTATTTTTTTTAGTATGATGGTATCTAAATATAATAAAAAATCTAGTGGATCTAATAATAAAATAATAAAACAACGTGTGGATCTCCAGATGTCTCTCAGTTGACAGTCACAATATATTTGGAGAGCACCAGGTTCAGAAAGGAAATATTGGAGAGTGCATTTTAGTTAGCACTTTTAAAAAATCAGTTAATGGAATGGTACTGTAATTATGGACTGCATTCTTATGCAGAGCTTTATGGACACAGGAACACCATTTCAGTTTTCAGCTGTTTTAATCGTACTATAGTTTGTTGAATTTTAGCTATAATTTGAAAGTAATTATTTCATAATTATTTATATACACAGTATATATAGGACAGAAACTATAACAATAACATGTATGTGTATATTTTTTGTATGTATATGTATGTACATATGTGTATACATACACACATAGTATAAAGAAGTAAGACAGAAATTAAAATTACTGTAACAAGAACTAACATAAAGAGAAGGGAACAAAAAAAAAGAATGAAAAAGAAAAAGACAAAGACAAAGACAAAAATGCAGAAAAAAGAAAGAAAATCTAAATAAGTTATTTCTAATTTTCTTTTACAACAGTTATAAGTACAAATGTAAATTAACCTTTTGCTCTATGGTTATAACATTACTTACATTTTTCTATAATTATTTCTTTTAATCATCAGAACCATATATCATACTTTCATTTTTCTTCCTGTTTCATGTAAAAAAATCAATAAGGTTTACACTCAGTTTTAAGCTTAGGCAATATATTTTCTTTAACAAAGCTGTCAATTTGGCTATCTTCATAATCCATTCCTATATTGTGTCTAAAATTGAACCTTTCCACCTTTGTGCATATAATAATCCTACTGCAGTTATCATATATAAAAACTTCCGTGATTTTATTCCAACTGTTTATTGATCAGTCTTTAAAATCATCTATACTTTACCTGTTTTGTGTCTCTATCCAGCATGATAAAACTCTTGTTGATTACATTTCCAGCATAAATTTCTGCCTTATATATTCTACACAATTTTTCAGTGATACATACCAGCAATACATCATTTTATAAAAATTATCTTTAAAAAATATAGCAATGTATATTTCAGTTCTTTCAACCACGTATTTTCCCATTATTCCATTTGTATATTCTAAGAAACAAATACTTGTTCTTCTGTTTCAAATTTCAATAAAAATTGATACA